TTGACACAAGGGAGGCAGGAGGAGAAACAGTGAGCACTCGCAGGCCTTTCTTAATAAGGAGATGTCTGGAATTCAGGCCCCTCTTGCGGTAAAGAGTCTCTTTTTTGCAGCACCACTCCTGAGCACGCTCTGAGCTCCGTCAGGTCGCCCGATCGGTCGTAGCGCTGAGCGCTGTTTGCTGCTCTCCAGACTCACAGTGGGGAAAAGGTTAATGGCGTTTTCTCTGCTATAATTGGAGAGAAACAATAGAGCAGCCTGATCTCCCTCCCTTACTCAGCCATCAGCATTTAATTACTACAACCGTTACCGCACAACACCTATGCTTCCGTAGTGAGGATTATTTTTGGCTACAGACAATAAAAACACACACAAATCACAATGTTTAGTGAAACAAAATTTTTGTAAAATATGCTTTTGTGTTCATGATATGTGAGCTGATAACAAGAAATAAAAAAATAACTGAAATAGACCCGTCATTGTCTATAAAAAGCCATAAAGGCTTAAAACATTTGATCAACTTGACCTTTTCCTATATAGGGCTGCAATACTTTTGCTAAATAATTTTAAAAATGAACTTTTTGGCTGTAAAATACCAGACAACCTGTAAATTTATAGATCTGCGAAAGTGCACGTGATAATTTTTAATTATTGTTTTTATTTATTTTTTATTTTAATAGAAAACAAACAATTGCTACTTGACATAAATGTTGCAGTCATTTTCATTTATTTGTTTATTTGTTTAATTATTTTATTATTAAAAAACAGCTATAATGAACAAAATTAATAAAATGATTTATTTTGAGTGATTTACAGCTAAAATATTCCTTTTGAGTGACTGACTTACTTTGTGGTTATATACAGCTGAGGATTTTAAACCAATGTAAAACAGTTTGACCAGACCAGAATGAACTGTGGAGTCGTTTGGAGCGATCGTTGAGGTCTGAGACGGATCATATGAGCTGCTGCTGATGAGCACTCGGCTTTAGTGTTGAGTGACCCGGCTGCAGACGGACCATCACAACCAGCCTCCACTCAGCTAAAATTAACAACCTGACTTGTGGACATTTGTCACACTCTCGTTTGGGTCCAGTGATGGCCGTAAATTTGATGTTGTGTTTGGTTGAAATGTCACAGCAGCTCAAGTGTTGCAGTGGTCCAAACTCGCCTTTAATCTTCTGTTAATCTTTGGAAATGCTGGTGAAAAAGAGAGGGAGGTGACATCAATTCACCACCTTTGATTTTTAATTCATGTAACTGAAGTAATGCTTCTCAGCGACATGATATATTTTCTGCAAATATAAATTTACTGTAACTGAATTTTATTGCTAGCTTGGCAACCCATCCTGTATATGTAAATGTATAGTCTGGCCACGAGCCGTTGAAACCACCAGTCATGGGGTTGTCTTTCAGACGGTCTCCGCATTCAATTGGACAGCACTAGGACCAATCAGAGCAACGAACAAGGTGACGTACTCAATGTCAGTCAATGGGTCAGTCCGCCATACACCGTAGTAGGGCTGAACAATTTAGGAAAGTAATCAAATAGCGATTTTTTTCGTCAATATTGCAATTTCGATTTAATTCACAGTTATTTTCTCATATTTTCAACTAGCGGAAGCAAAAAAAATCTATGTAACTTGTACTGAATATAAACTACAATACTACATCCATTGTTTTTTTTTTCTTGTTTAATACACAGCGTGGCAAAGTTTGGTTTTTTTTGCCTTAATTTGCTGACAGTTTTGGCGTCACACAGTAGCCATCTTCAGAGCCTCACCGGTGTTGACCTATTATGATTGGTCTCGATTTCTAGGCTACTTTGTTGCCCCACTTTGGTGAACATTAGGAGGAATGAAAGAATGTTTTGGGCTAATTTGTTTTCCAAATTTGCCATTGCACCTTTAAATACTGATCTCAATATATCGTATTGTCTCCCCAGTTTTGTGATTTGTATTGTATCACCAGATACTGCTAATTCACACCTCTACCAGTTACACACTCACTCACACCTAGAGACAATACAGAGTCTCCAGTTGACCCTAACCTAGCATGATTTTAGTTAGAGTGGGAAGCAACCTAAGTAACCGTAGAAAACACACAGGCATGGGGAAAACATGCTAAGGAGGCGCAGGCGCGATTGGAACAATGCTACCAACTTCTCCATCGTGCATCCATCGGCTCATGATGTAAAATCAAATCAAAATGTTAAAATGTGCCACATTTTTATGTCTTATAAACCAAAATGTTTCACTCACCAATTTTCTCCCTACATTTATCCGTTTGACTTGACTTTTTTTTTTTTTTTGGTAGAAATGCCAAAACAGAAACAGGATCATGCTGGGAGGGTTATTACCTCACTGACTTCCATTTAAAAAAACAATACAATGCTGAAAAGACAACTTGAAAAATACTTAAGATCTTTTCCTGTAGTCAGCTATAATCCAACCACATTGGGAAACAGTTCCCAGACCACAAGAATTCCTTCAGACCACTACTGATTAGTGGGGTCCTTAAACTTTGTTTTGTGAAATATCTTGAGTTCATTTGAACATTTGAGGGGGAAAAATCATGGCAATAATTACAGTTTGCATTGATAATTCATACACATGTAATGACCCCCAGTTAAAAGTAACAAAAGTACCATGAATGCACCCAGCTTCACCCTTTCAGCAGTATCATGAATGACTCCAGTTAAAATGATTTCTAGGAAGAAAAGTGTGTTAAAACTTAGAAAACGGAGGACGCTGCATCAGGATCCATGTTTGAAAAGTTAATGTGTCTGCTGACTTGTTTGTCTGCTGGTTATCGCTGATCACCGTCTTCTTAAAGTCGTAAAACTTGCTCATCCAGCTTGAACATCAAACGTTTTTTACGACTTGCTCACAGTTGCCTAACTGGTTGACGGTCTCCAAAGATGGATGTCATAAAAAAATCAATCAAATCTCGCCTTGTAATTACGCAAGACAAAATCAAAGCCACCGTCATTGTTTTATTCACATTTAAAGTCCCATCGTCTTCAATTTCACCATCACACACTAGTGAAATTACATCTCTACATTTGACCCATCCCCATGGGGAGCTGTGAGCTGCAGCTGTGGCTGTGCTTGGGGACTATTTGGTTGATTAACCTCCAATCCAGCCCATTAAAGCTGAGTGTCAAGTAGGGAGGCATCGGGTCCCATTTTTAAAGTGTGACCCTACCGGTATTTGAATCCCGACTAGGCCACTGAGAAAGTAGTAATTACCCTGAAAGAGCTATTATTAGTCAATCGCACCAAATGCATGATTTTAATGACAAATTAGTGAAACTAGAGTGATGTTTTTGTAACTGTTTTCTATTTCAGATGAGCTGCTTGTCATTGAGGCTTAATGTCCAAAAGTTTCTCTGTGGTTTCTTCAGCGAAATTATTGTAGGCTCTTTAGAAACGCTCAACCGTTATTCGGTTAGCCGACAAGATTTTCCTTTGTGACCAACAAGAAGTTCTGTTGTAGCTATCTTCAATTAAAATGCATGTTTTAAAGGTGTGGAACACTGAGTTTTTCATGCAGGCTGAACATGAAACACACCTATCTCCTGCATTAGCGTCTGATTGAAAACAGACGGTGAAACTCTAGGATTAGAAAAGCCTGACAGATCTATGTTGAGCTTTCGTTGGGAATCACCCATCTTGACTCCCGACAGGGAAGGCTGTTGGTTTACCGTCTAGAAAACAGCAGAGAACGTCTTGACTAGTAGAAGCTAACTGTTAGCATTAGCAACTCCACCACACAGCAGAACTTCTCCAAGCTTGTGTTATTAGTGGAGATGAAACATCAACGTTGGAGAGCAAACAAATGTACTGATTAAACAAGTGTGCCACAACGTTAATGTAATCGAAATTGAAAATTTTAAAGCTAAGTTCAGAGAATAAGTGATTGTGGTTTTTGTGTTTTGTGGTATTTTTTGGGATTGGGAGTTTAACGTCCTTGCAGATTCACACCACATGAGCTTTCTTGAGACCCCAAGGTCACACACTACAATGCCTGGAGAATTAAAAAGTTTCTCTCTGTGGCTTCTCTCGTCCATGCATCTGGAGATTCACTAGAAACATCCCAAGCGCAACTTTTCCTGTTTTCTTTGTATCTGTTTTTTTTGTCATATTTATAATACCCCTCTGATAGTTTTTCCTAGGGCTGCACAATATATCGTAAATATATCGTTATCGCGATATCAGCATGCACAATATGCATATCGCAAAGAACAGATAAATATCGCAATACATGGTCAGCTAAAATATTAGCTAAACATAATGCATTCTGTCAATCAAATGGAAGTATTATGATTTTTTTAACAAATCAAATGGAGCTCTTCACCCATTTGGTCAATTGGGTGGGTTCTCATAGGTTAGATGCTCGCCCCCAAGGTGGACAGCACGTAATTTTGATGGTTAGCAAACACCTGAGTTAGCTTTGTTCTGCTTTTCCCGGGATCCACTGATAATCTTTTCTTGCTAATTTTCTTTTCCCCATTCCTCACATCTTTAGCTTTTCTCATATTTACAAATTTTGTATTTCTTTGTTTTTGATTATTTTTGTTCCTGAGTTAAGTTTTTATTTATCGCAAGTGATATCATCATCGCAATATCGAATATCGCAGGTTTTCCTAATATCGTGCAGCCCTATTTTTCCCTTATTGGATCATTTCTAATAATTGACTCACACACCCCTTTTCCCTCTAAATACTTTAGATATCTAGCTTGATGGATGTTTTGTGGTCTGGATCTTTTCTGCAAGCCTGCTAAATCACGTCTTTGAAGTGCTCACACGAGGTGATTTGTGAGTAGCGACAGCTCAAATTTGCTTCCGATCTTGGCGATTGTCTCAGAGCTTCAAATTTTGTTTATGATTTAAAAAGTGAGCACGAAATCCTGTAGTGCAGACATTTTTGGGGTAAAAATTTAATGGTTTCATCTTTAAATTATGTGCTGAAAAACAATGCTTTCTGTTTTTTCATTCCACAGGTCTCCCACTGATCTTCTGACATTTGGGCTCAGGGTTGGGCCCAGGGGGAGCCGCCACCATTGCGTCCAACGAGTGGAGCGCCAGCGGTAGCCCAGAAGATGGGCTGGATGGAGACAATGAGGAGAAGACCATGGACGGGGATGCCGAGGGCGTTTGGAGCCCGGATATTGAGCAGAGTTTCCAGGAGGCCCTCGCTATTTACCCGCCCTGTGGCAGGAGAAAAATCATCCTATCAGACGAGGGAAAGATGTACGGTGAGTACATGGGCAACAGCCAGAACAGAGAGAAAACAGCTCCATGAAAACCGGTTCCAGAAATGATCAAACCTCCACTTTTGTTTTTTCTTCCTCCTTCACTTGTACAACCACTCCGAGTGAGAAGTAAATGTTTCCTTTCTTCACCTTGCTCTGTTCAACAGGTCTGTACCTGTTGTGCTGTCACTAAATGGCAGGTTCTTCCAGTCACACTAGCACTTTCTGAGCTGGTTATTGCTGTCCTGAGACATGCTGCCATCTTGTTTTTCTTCAGAAGTTTGAATTTTTTTGTACAATGAAAATTTTTTACCCCGAATTTTTATCCAGACCAAACCCTCTTCCTGCTTTCTATCTCTTAACATCATCTTTACATGGGTATTATCTGGGAAGCTTTGCCTGAAGCTAACAGGTTGAAGCCGATTTCTGGAGAACTGCTGTGCTTAATGCTGGTTTGCGAAGTTAAATTAGCAACAATTAGCACAGCACGAAACAAGAAATAAAGAAGAAAAACATCTAATTGGCACGCTCTTCTGTCAACGTTTTTAATCACCCATGTTGTTGTGTTGTTTCCTGCAGCGCGTTCATTAAATTGCAGGTGTTGAGCCTTTAAAGAGCTTAAAACTCCAGATGGAGATGTTGGCAAGTGCGTTGGGAATCACTAATATCCAGGTGTAGGAAATTGATTACACTTGTCCGTCATTAATTTGATCCTACTTTCAGGATCAAATACACTGCTACACTACACTGCTCTGCTTCAGCACTTCATTATGAATTCGTAAAGAAGCAATAAATGTTGAGTGACATGATGTTCTGCTTTAATTGCTATTTTGTTTCTTGGCACAGCCAATAAAATCCTCCACAGTTGGTTTTTTGTTCTTTGATTCATGCCAGAAACATGAAAAAATGATATTGATTCAAACTGCAGCTTTTCTTGTGTTTTATTTTTGTAGTTTAGGGGCAGCACTAGCTCAGGAGGTAGAGCGGGTTGTCCAGTAATTGGAAAGTTGCAGGTTCGATCCCGGCTCCGACCAGAGAATTCTGCTGTTGTGTCCTTGGGCTTAACCCATCTTGCCTGCTGGTGGTGGTCAGAGGGACCGGTGGCGCCAGTGCTCGGCAGCCTCGTCTCTGTAGCTGTTTTTACAGGACCATAGCGTTTGCAAAACGGGGTTTGCCGCGGCTCCCTGGGGAGGATTTTGGCATTTACAGTAGCAAAGCTGAAGCTAGAATAAACTGCCATCAGGCACCTCTCAAACCAAGACAGGATAAAGGGAGGTCACTGGGCAGCCCCCCCGCATGTGACGTACAGGGTCGCGCATTCAGCGTCAGACGGAAGACACGTCAGACTGATGAAATTTCTTTTTCAGGACCTTTAGCTTTGATGTGACCTGCTTCTTGTCCCGAATGACGCCCCGCTCAGCCAGTGTCTTCTCTCACCGTCCCCCGTAAAAAGGCGACTAATCTGTTCGTCCGCTCGCACGGCCAAAAGCTCCATGGTCTCTGCGTCCATCCAGTTTGGCATGTTGTAGGTGGTTGAAAGATACTAGTGAGAGGCCATGTGTATCTGTGTTTATATCCCTTCCGGCCGGCACTCGGCGCACAGTATACGTCACTAACGCGACCACCCTCTTTTGCACGGGGTGGGGGAGGGGGGCCTCCCACAATTGCTCCAAAGGGATTAGCGGGGCTGACACACATTTAACCATCAGAGGCGAGGGACTCATGTGGCAATATTACTACGAGGCTAAGCGCATCAGAATCGAGTTTTATCACCTTTCCCCTTTGCTCCTTACCGCATTTACGAGACCCACAAATTCGGATTTATCACTCTGTACAGACGCGATGGTCTGTCGTATAAAAGAGGCATGTCAGTGCGCCCCAGGGCAGCTGTGGACATCGTACCTCACCCCCAACAGTGTGTGAATGGATGAATGACTGATTGTGTTGTGAAGTGCCTTGGGGGGTTGTAGAACTATACGAAGGCGCTATACAAATACAGGCCATTTTCCATATTTCTAAGACATAACTGTTTTTAAAAGAGCGACTGGCGTCTGATTAGATTTCTTTGGTGTCGTTCACCCACGATGGAATTGCAGGCACTCATTTGCCACGTGTGGATATTGAAGGACGAGTGCATACCTGAATTAACATTGTTCTGTCGCTGTTATTGTAGTTTTCAGTCTGCTTTATTAGACATGGAGCAAAAGCTTAAACAATTATCCTGAAGAAATGTAAAAGAAAGTCGGGATTTTAATAAGAAAATCAGTTTTTTTCTTTTTTTCATTTGGTTCCTTTTAAGTTGAGAATATTTAAGATGGTTGGAAGAAAAATTAGGAAAACATTTAGTTTGGAGGAGTTCAATTCTGTTTGTCCGTCTTCAGTAAGCTGTAAATAAACTAAATCAACATCAGAGGAAACAAGTTAATCAAAAAATATATGAATAACAATAATTTTCAGACAAGATTAATGAATCAATTAATAGTTTGTTGTATCTTGAAGCAAACACCTTACAAAATGGTAGATAGCTCTCTGAATCTCCCGGTTTGGGAGAAAAAAAAAGTTGACTATTACATCTTCTTTCCAGTGGACATGAAAAACAATGTGCAATACGCAAAACGTGTTACTACCCGCCGTTTTGGGAAGAGTTCCTTTCCATCGGCAGCAAAGTCGAACATTTAGACGTGCCCTATAAGCGAGAGGAAACTATCTTTACGTTTCAAGACTATTTTTTACACGCCACGCTTCCAAGACGCATCAAACTCCGGAGTTTAGATTGTGCCAGGCAGGAAAGCAAACACAAAAGCAGTGTAAAACACCAGGAAACTTTCAAAATAAAAGTCACATGCAGGTAAACGTACGTCATTTTCCGGTAAAACCCTCGTAGTCAATGTAAACAGAACAGAACTAAACCTTTTATGATGCATGCAGCTGTCTTTCTCCTTGCTGATTTCTTCTGAAAGCATGAGTGGTGTTGCAATTCTCCTGTGATTCTGTGCAGGGGCGGATTAAGGACTGAAGAACATCCGGGGCTTAACACACGCACACACACGCGCGCGCGCACACACACACACACGCGCGCACACACACGTGACACGCACTAGTCAACATCATATATATTTGTCTTGTACCACATAATTTTTAATCTGAAGCTACATATTAAGCATTTTCAGGGCAGAGTATTGTTCCTGTTAGTGTTTAGTGTGAGATGATAGTAAATATTCCCTTTCTTTCTCCAACAACTTCACCTGATAGTAAGCTAACTTTAGGCGAACCAGCAGCGCAACAAATATTTTCAAGTAAGACTCACAAACCTGAGTCAACACCAGTCTCATCAGAGCTGGGGTTCTGTTGTTGTACTTTTGGTCTAAAAACGTCCTTATGTCCATCTTCACTCATGCGTCTCAGGCAGACTGTAGAAGAAGGGCTTCTTCTTCAGTGGTGGAGGCTCAGGCAGGCTGTATACAAACTACTGCCAGCTGCTCCCTCTCTGTTGGACTTTGGTACTGCATGTTACTTCCGCGATTTAGATCCGGGGCTTTTCATGAAACATCCGGGGCTTCAGCCCAAGTAGCCGGGCCTAACGCCGCCCCTGATTCTGTGACCTTATGGGACCAGATGTGAGGAATGGTTTGCTACCGTTTTGCGTCAGAATTGCTCCTGGTTGGGAATGAGCTTGTGGATAAAACATCGCTTTTACGTTACGCGACCGCTTTCACGGCCGGTAGAAAGAAGAGGTTAGTTCCAATGTAGATAATTTGGTCAATAAGGGATAATCTTTGTTTCTCTATATTGAGGCTTTTTAATAACAAGACACTGATGATGCACGCCCTTTTCACAGAAACACACTTCAAAAAATCTGCACTGTCCTTTTAAGCAGAAGATGTGGGACATTTCTAATCATAATGGATGCATTCAAAGATATTTTTTATTTGATCTGCTGTTTTCTCTGACCTGGTCTTTCGTATAATGTCTGTGAAGCATATAGTACAGAGCAATTAGCCGGCTTTATGGTGGATGCATGCATTTCCACCAGCAGCGAAGCGTTGCATGTTGAACGCGTCCCATAAGTGTAGTGTCCACCTTATTTTGCAAACCAATAACAACTAAACCAATAAAAAAGAATATGTAATTTCCTGGGGAGTGGCTGGGGAGAGGGAAGTCTGGGCCTCTCGACTTAGGCTACTGCCCCCACGACCCGACTCTGGATAAGCGGAGGAAAATGGATGGATGGATGGATGTAATTTCCTGTGAAACCTATGTAGCCAAGCTTGTTACTATGCGATCTGCTGAAATCACGCTAGATCTTGCAATTTTCCGGTGATTTCGTGACTTCACGGGACCAGCGGCGTGGAATGTTTTTGCTGCTGATTCGCATGTGAAACTCTCCCAGTGGGAAGCTTTACTCACTGCTGACCTCAGTGGAAAAACGCGTCTATTGCGTTACGCGCTGCTTACGCGTCCAGTGGACAGCCAGGGTGAGGCGTACTGTAGAAGTTTTATTTCAAGAAGAGTGAAGATATGACATATTCTGACATGTAATTTGACAGAACGACATCTTAACATTTACAGCTTACCTTTAATATCACTGTGTGAGTATAAACATCTCAAATGTTCAGTCTAAATGAGGTTTGAAGTCCTGTTTCCCAGGACAGTGTTATGTCCCAGAGTGAATACAAGAACGTCAACAAACAGGGAGTCGCAGCATTAACCCGCCCTTTAGCAACTAACTGTCAAGACCCCTTTTAGAGGCCTTTTTTTTTCTAAGTCACTAAACACCCTCTCCATTTACAATAAGTCATCTGAGGCCCTGCTGGCAGAGCTAAGGCATGCCCCAGAAGAAGCCCTCACTCAAGGTGATTACCTCAGATGTCTAAAAGCTGCCCTGACGCGAGATTAGGGGAATGTTAACGATTGCACAGCATGTAATACTGTCTACCTTGCAGTCTCAGACTCCCAGTGGCCTCCAAAAGCAGACAAGTCATACCTCCCATTGGGAATTCCAC